TTACTCGTCTCAAGTAATTTCCTCTTCCAACACGGTACACCATCAATAGTAGAATAGGGGTACTTATCACAATAATGATCATGACTTGCTTTTACAAGAAAATCTTCGAATCCCGCAGAATTCGAACTCGCCATCACCTTTTTCTTTTTTTTCACGTCCTCAGCCGACTCATTATAGTAACGAGGATAATTCCAAGTAATACCAAAAAAAGCCATCTCCGCCTTTGGCTGTCCAGCAGTTGTAGTAGTAGCAGCGGTGGTTGTTGTTCTTGTTGTTGCTGCTGTTCTTGCGGTACGCTGGCGGCAGAGGTCTGCGTACTTCCCACATGCAGACACACGGCTGCCCGCACCGCATGTAAGCCACTNTGTAGAGAGTGTTTCTTGGGTACGACCCTCTTCCAGTAACGGCTGAACTGGTCCTTCGCGTGTAGCCGGTTCTTGTGTCCCAATAGAACCACTTCTGGTATCAGAATTAGAACTTACAGTAGAGGGTGACACAGTTCCAGCCCTATCATACAAGAGAGTTGTAAAGACACCACCACCTTCACTTCCACTAGTAGTAATAGCAGCATCATCAACAAAAGCCATCACTGCCTTTGGCTGTCCAGCATTATCAGCAGCAGTAGCAGCCGCCATGGTATACCCGCAGGCACAGCACAGCACAACGGCCAACACACACATCACACGGCGCATCATCATCATGATGAGAGAGAGAATAGTTTGGTTTGCGTAAAAACACTGATCTAGAAAGAAAGACAATGCATAAGCAAAAAAGAAAAAGATACGAAGTATCAAACATGTTAGGACACACAAAACAATTACCACTATAGAGACTCACATCACAAAGGAAATACACACCGGTTAAGGTATGAAACAAAGCGCAATAACCTCAGTAAGAGTAAAAACAAAAAAAAAAGCCCACACTCATAAATCTCTCTCAAAAGGCTAAATGCCCAAACAAACCATACTAGCAAAGAAAAAGATATTAACCATTAGCCCAATTCACACAGTAAACACAAGAAATACACCAACCATGGGTATAAGTCTATATGTGTATATATACTCGCAATTATAAATATAAATTCATCTGTTATTATTATTTCCTTTTCACTACAAAAAGCAGTTCATCATCATTATCACAGTGCAAGCCCAGGTGCACACACACAGAGAGTCTCCAATAACACACACACACACACAATGGAGTAGCAATAATAATAATAATTATAGGATAAACACAAAGAGAGAGCAAAGACACACAAAACACACAAAACACATTAAGAAACAAAAAAAAAGAAGAAAATCCCAACAGGTGCAAGATTAGTTAGAGTGTAGGGATGCATGCAAAAAAAGAAAACAAAGGATGACCTGAGTCACCACCATTCACACCACATCACCATTACAATCAGCACACAAGAATACAGGCCAGTGTAACCACAATCAGTAGTGGTACACGTACCCACACAGAACTGCTGATACTGCTGCTGCTGTCTGCATCACCCTTCTTGTTGTTTGTGAGTTCAGGAGGAAGTGTTGTTGTTGTGGTTGTTGTTGTTGATTCACTCACAGCATTCGTAGTATCGTCATTTGTTCCTGCACTCTCTTCTGAAGTTGTCACATTATCAGTGGTACTGTTGGGCTCTGTGCTCGTGTTCTTTAGTGGGTTTGAATCACCAGAGTGTGGATCAGATGGGGTTGTGTCAGCAGGTGGTGTATCTGGTGTAGGATGTTGCGTGGAGGTATCAGTTCTCTGGGATCCTGTGCTTCCAGTATCCGTTTCTGTGTTGCGGTTTTCCTCTTGAGAGTCTTGTGTAGTTCCACCATTCGTTCTCGTTTGGCCCTCAGGACCACGTGACCCACTGGATGCTTGCTGCCCAAGAGATGATGATGATGATGATGATGTCTCTGCTGTTGGGGTGTTTACATGAGTGTCCGCTGCCCCTCCTTGTACGTTGTTGTGACTACCTAATGGATCCTCTTGTGGTGGAATTTGTGGACTCAACTCTTCAGTTCTTTGAGGTTCACTATCACTTCCCCGCACGGTAGTGACGGGACCACGAGGATTACCTGAAGCGAGATTTTGAATGGCAGCGTGACCACTCTCTCCAGGCTCATGTCGAGGTGCAGGAAGTTCAGCAGGTAAACCAGTAATACAAGCACTTTGAGTTTTTTTAGGGCCATCACAAGTACTACTAGAATCAGCAGCATCAGGATGAAGCCCCTGCGCATCTTTTGCCTCTTCAGCCGCCCCACAGACACATGCCACGCTAAGAAGCAAAGCCACAAGATACAACAGACGGTGCAGCAGCATCAGAAACGGAGTTTTCTTTCTCGTTTAAAGCAACACAACTGGGAAGAGAAAAACAAAAGAAAGAATAAAAAACACACAAAAATATACAAATAAACTCTCACACAAAACAACGCTATGTATGAACAAGAAACTTTTAAAAAAAGGCTCTTCTCTCACACTGCCTAACCTCAATAAAAGAAAAATAAAATAAAAAATAGTACAACTAAAGGCAACATCAAACACAGAACAACAAGTTTGATTAAATTGATATGCAATTATATATAAATGTATTTCTGTATTACTGTTCTTTATCTCCGGAGAAAGCATATCATCATAACAATGCAGAGCAAAACACACAACGCCCATGTACAAAGCAAAGAAACAGATATTAATCATTAGCCCAATTTAACCAGTAAACACATAGAGATACACACCAACTATGGGTGTATATCTATATGTGTGTACGCATACACAATTATAAATATAAATTCATCTGTTATCATTATTTCCTTTTTCCAGTACAAAAAAAACGTTCACTATCATTACAGTGCAAGCCCACACACACAGAGAGAGTCTCCAAGAACACACACACACACAATGGAGTAGCAATAATAATTATAGGATAAACACAGAAAGAGTAAAAAACACACAAAACACACATTAACATTAAGAAACATAAAAAAAGAAGAAGTAAATCCCAACAGGTGGAAGATTGGTTAGACTGTAGGGATTATATGCAAAAAAAAGAAAAACAAAAGAAAACAAAGGATGACCTGAGTCACACCATCACCATTATAATCAGCACACAAGAATACAGGCCAGTGTAACCACAATCAGTAGAGACGCACGCATCCACACAGAACTGACGCTGGCTGCATTCTTCCCTTCACTCTTCGCTCCCGCAGCTCCACCATTTTCACCAGAAATCGTAATGCCAGCTTCACGAAGCGCTTTCTCATTATCAGCAGCAATACGAGTAGCTTCAGGTGGAGTACGAATACTACCAAGCTGAGCATTAAACTTGGCTTCAACGTCAGCAGTCTTTTTCTTAATCTCATCAACATGTTTCTGATGCTCAGCAGCCATTCTCTCAAGATCATTAGTGGCACCANTACCAACACCAGGCCAAGCACCCACAACACCAGGTTGGGGATGTAAAGGATTAGGATGAAGACCACCAGCAACACCACCAAATCCAGGGGCACTCTGAATACCAGTAGAACCTTTATCTAGATTAGCCATCACGCATCCACATACGCAGTACAGGAAGAATGGCAGTAAGCACAACACGTGGCCCATTATCTTCTTTAGAGCCATAATAGTGGTAGTGGGTTTCCCCTAAAAACACTCTACTACAAAGAAAAAAAAATATGAGAGATTAACAAAATGCTCATAATACCAAAAACCAGACGTATATACAAGTAGAGAAGCACAAAAGAACCATAACAGTGTAGAAAAAAAAATCAGAAACACAGCAATACAGAAACTTTAACTCAGTAAAGGTAGAAGCAAAAGGAGATCCATATCATCAAAGACTCCCGCAGTACAGCATAGAATGTCCCAACAAATCATAAGCAAACAAAGAATCATTAACCATTAGCCCAATTTACCCAGTAAACAAAGAAATACAACAACTATGGGTTTAAATCTATGTATGTGTGTATATACGCAATGATAAATATAAATTCATCTGTTATTATTATTTCTTTTCCTCTCCTGCAAAAAGCAGTTCATCATCATTATCACAGTGCAAGCCCAGGCACACACAGAGAGAGTCTCCAAGAACACACACACACACACAATGGAGTAGCAATAATAATTATTATAGGATAAACACACAAAGAGTAAAAACACACAAAACACAATAAAAATAAGAAACAAAAAAGAAGGTAATCCTAACAGGTGAAAGATTAGTTAGACTGTAGTGTGGATGCATGCAAGAAAAGAAAAGAAAACAAAGGATGACCTGAGTCACACCTCCACACCACCACACAATCAGCACACAAGAATACAGGCCAGTGTAACCACAATCAGTAGTGGCACACGCACCCATACAGAACTGCTGATACTGCTGCTGCTGTCTGCATCACCCTTCTTGTTGTTTGCAGTCTCAGGAGGAAGTGTTGTTGTGTTGGTGGTTGTGGTTGATTCCCCATCACTTGGGTTATTTGTTGACCCACTCCCTGCAGGTGTACTGTCACTCCCAGTGTTTGCATTCTCAGAATCAGCTGCACTCTCGTTGGTTGAACTGCTTGTAGAAGATAGTTGTGTTCCTCCACTTTCTCTTGGTGCACTGTCTCCAGCTTGACTGTCACCTGCAGGCGCAGTCTCTCTCCCTTCAGTAGGTGTAATAGAGGTAGTAGATGTAGTAGAAGGAAGAGAAGCAGCAGTATTAGAAGGTTCAGAAGAAGAAGCAGCGCTATTATCGCTATTGTTGGAGTCACTACTATGTGTTGCTGGGTTCTGTCCGCTCGGAGCTGATGGTCTATCTACAGTATTACCTGGGTGCTCTCTATCAGTAGCAGGAGATGGTGGAAGAGCAGGCTGAGTTGGTTGTGGATGTGATGTTTCTGAAAGTACAGAAGAAGGTTCACCTCTCGTCAACTCTGGAGTAGCCACTTCTCTTTGTTCGTTACCTTGTCGCTCTGGAGACACCATTTCCGTCTTCGTTTTTTCTGCATCACCATCTTTTTCTAAAGGAACTCCTTGTAATTTATCTTTATCTTTTCGTTCCAGCCGTTTGGGTTTCTGCTTACCAACTGGACCAACAGAAGCAGGTGCGCCTATCTCAGATTCATCATTTTCATCCGTTTCCTCCAATTCTTTCTCTTCGTCATCATAGTCAAGCCAATCATCACTTACAGGAATGGCACGACGAGCAAGAGAAGGAACACCAACAGTTGAAGGTTTAATAAGGACATCAGAAGCTCTAGGACTATCAGCCCACACTAACCCACAAGCACAACACAGTGCAAGAGTTAGTAAACAGAGCAGGTAACACCTCACCATTACAGCCTTTGTCATTTATGTGTTTTACTTCAATAGACTAATACAAGAAAGAAGAAGAAAGAAAGAGACACACAGCCAGTGAGTGGATGCAGGACACAAATACTCACAGTGGAGTAGAGAGAGAGAAGCAACAACTGTACAGTAAAGCAAGAAAAATCCAGCTTGCATGATAATAATATGTCTCCATTAGTGGAAAAAGAGAACACAATACCCCATGGCTCTAGTTTATGTATTAAATTACTGCACACACACATCTGTGTGTACTAGCAAGAGATGTATACCGTCAGTGAACAGAACAGCCCAGTTTTCTGCACACACACACAACGGGAAAAGCAAGTAGTGGAATTAATAGAAAAAGAACACGCACACACACACAAAAGTAAAAAAAAGAAATTCCAATTAAAATAGAAAGCTGGTAAACAGATTATTAGTTTTTTCACCCATGAGGGATGTACGCAATTATGGTTATCTTAGTACTACCATTATTATTATTTGTCCTCAGATGAGTCCCACCGTTCAGTACACGGTAACGGAGAACAACACAGCCACAATCAGTAGCGGCACACGTACCCAAACGGGGCTGATACTGCTGCTGTCAACATTACCCTTGTTCTTCTGTGCGATGGATGCAATACTGTTAATCTCTGGGACTGCCTTAGGGGTAGTAGTTGAATTGGTTCCTTCTGTGTCTGCTCTCGCACTCACACCCGTGGCCGCGCCAGAAGTACTGTTACCGTTACTGTTGTTAGTGGAAGATGTTGAAAGTGTGCTGCTCTCTCCAGGTGCACTCGCAGAAGAATTCGTTGAAGTTGTAGGTTGTGCGGGTGTATTCAATCTCTCTGGGGTATCTTCTTTTTCACCAGATTGGGGTCCAGCCACTGTTGTTGTACCTGGTCCACTACTATCCCCAGCACCAGTGTTCACAGTAGGTGAAAGAGAAGAGGAGTCATCTCTATTAGGTAATCCTTGTTGTTTTTGTTTTTCTTCTTGTTGGTCAGTAGGATCTGAAACACTGGGAGGTTCCACAACTTCAGTTTGGTCTACCTTAGACGTTAATGCCTCTCCTGTGCCCTGAGGAGAGGTTTTGTGCAATTCCTCCTCTTCGGACAATACTTTACCCTCCAATGTACGACCCTCAGCATCTGAATGGCCATTAGAGATAACATTTCCTTCTCCCAAATTATTTGTTCCAGTGCTCTCGTGACCATGGGGAACACTCATTGGAGTTGATTCAACAGACGCCTTATTGTCAAGCCAAAAACCCGTTTTATTACGCATCTGATACCTTAAAATATCACCACCACCAAACGCCATCGCCGTAGATGATTCGTCAGCAATAGGAACAACAGCGGTGGGTGAGGACACATCAGCAGCAGCCGTCATGGTACACCCGCAGGCACAGCACAGCACAACGGCCAACACACACATCACACGGCGTATCATCATCATCATGAGAGAGAGACAAGGGTTTGGTTTGAGTAAAAACACTGATCTAAAAAGAAAGAGAATCAAAAAGGAAAATAAATAAAATAAATGAAGTATCAAACATGTTAGGACACACACAAAAGGATTACCACTATGGAAACTCACATCGTGAAAGTAAAACCTACCAGTTTAAGAATGCAATACAGCCCAATAACGTCAGTAAGAGTAAAAGCAAAAAAAAAAGCCCACACTCAGAAATATTTCAAACAAAGGCTCAACCGGCAAAACGAACAAACAAACCGTTAGACCAATTTACCCAGTAAACACAGAAATACACACCAACTATGGGTGTAAGTCTATATATGTGTGTATATATACGCAATGATAAATATAAATTCATCTGTTATTATTATTATTACTTTCCCACTGCAAAAAACAGTTCATCATCATTATCACAGTGCAAGCCCAGGTGCACAGAAAGAAAGAGTCTCCAAGAACACACACACACACAATGGAGTAGCAATAATAATAATTATTATAGGATAAACGCAGAGAGTAAAAACGCACACAAAACACATTAACAATAAGAAACAAAAAAAAGAAGAGAAATCCCAACAGGTGGAAGATTAGTTAGACTGTAGTGTGGATGCATGCAAGAAAAGACAAAAGAAAACAAAGGATGACCTGAGTCACACCACACCACCATTACAATCAGCACACAAGAATACAGGCCAGTGTAACCACAATCAGTAGTGGTACACGCACCCACACAGAACGGCTGATACTGCTGCTGTCTGCATCACCCTTCTTGTTGTTTGTGAGTTCAGGAGGAAGTGTTGTTGTGGTTGTTGTTGTGGTGGTGGTGGCTGAGTCCTCCTCAGTGGGTGTATTGGTAGTGTCAGGGTTCGTGTTCGCTGAGGTATTCGTTGTTGGTTCTGTATTTTCTCCATCCTCGGTGTTATTTGAAGACTCACGTCCTGCCGCTGGAGTGTCATTCCCGGTCGTTTTGGTTTCTGATCCTCCATTAGCTGGTGTGGCTGAAGTACTGGGAGAAGTGTTTGGTGTACTGCTGTCAGAGGATGTATCTGCGGAATGTGTATTGGGTGATATAGAAGAGGATGTTGATGGTGTGAGATGACCTTCTTGAGATTGTCCAGTATTGTCGGCTGGACCGGCTCCACCTTGACTACCATTTTCCACGTTAAGAGACTGTTTGCTCACAGGTCCGCTTGCCTTCGCATCGCTTGCAGAATGGGATAAGTCATTACTTACTGATGCTAGTCTCTCATTTTCTTTAGGTTCCCCTTCCTTCCCAGTCGACCCGTCTTTCCCTTTACCTTCACTCGTCCCTTGAGCTTCTTCACTCTGCTTTTCTGCCATGGTATCAGGACGATCAGAAGTAGTGGGTTGACGAGGTCCCACTGAGGACGTTGTTTGTCGAACTGTATTATCTCCGGTGTTTAAGTTTTTCCTTTCATCACCTTTTGTAACCGAATCTCCTGCGGTTTGGTTTTTGCAAGAATCACTTTCCGTTTGATCATCAGCGCAATGTTTAGATCTTTCTGTCGCCAAATCGTCTTGCACAGTATCAGCCTCAGACTCCAAAGCTCTTGGACCACCCAGTGCACCGCTATCCTGAGGTTCTACACTTTGAGCTGCAAGCACAGAAACGCAAACGCAACAGAGTAAAAGAACCAAACCAAACAGCACGTTACGCATCATCATCATTGCTCTTCGTTTTCTTATTATTGTTCTCCTCCTTGTCACTTTAGGTCGCAGATCTATGCAGGGAGTGTGGAAAAGAGGGAA